AATATATATATATATGATAGTAATATATATATATATGATAGTAATATATATATATATATGTTATATTTATGCTGATAAACTAAATATATATCTATATATATATATATATTACTGTATCTATTTATATTTCTGCCTACTCACTCAAGGAGAGTCAAGGAAGTTTACAGGAAATATTTTTTTTAAAAAAAATAAAGTAATAACCCCCCAATTCCCACACCCTGGCAACAAGCACACACACCAGCCATTTAATGGGCTCCATCCCGCTCTGCATTTCCCCAGGCCCACTGGCAGAACCACATCTTCAGAGCCTTCTGAAAAGGTGCCGGGGGGGGGGGGGGGGAGCTGTGTAATTTCCAAAGGGATGATGTTCCAGAGGAAGGGACCCACCACAGAGAAGGCCCTTTTTCTGGGTCCCGCCAGATGTATCTCCTTAGGGGACAAGAATGTTGTTTCCTGAAACATTCCTTGCCCCTCCCCCCCCCACACTTTCAAATCTTCTGCCCACAAAGGCAAATGGCAGTTGTATTCTCAATATACTTTTCTGTATTTTTAGTCTTAAAATGCTGTCAAGGCACACCTGTCTCTCACCTTCAAGAAGGTGCAGGGGAAGAAGGTAGAGGCGGCTCTTTCCTAAATGGTCCCCCAGGGGACACTGAGGAAATAAAGGCTGAGAAAAGATATTCAGCGCTACACTGCAAGATAATGGCAAACTCTGAACTGAATGCTTTGAATTCAGAACTGAAGGAACAGCATCAAAATTTAATTTTTTCATCAAAAATGTTTGTGGATGTTATCTACTGAAAAGGGGGCGATGATCCTGGACTTATGCTTTTTTCTTTACAAAATGTATGACACCTGAACTCCATGAACCAAAGAAATTCTGTGTTACGGAGCTTCAGTAATCAGACAGAGTATTTATGAAACCAAGTTATAAATTGTTAAGGAGCTGAAGTTGCTTACCTGCATTGGGTTAATCTTTACTGAATGCTCAAAGCACTCTATGCATTCTCTGAAATTCCGGTTGCGAAGATAAAGGAGGCCCTTTGAGCGCTGAGACCTGGCACTGCGGTGATTGGACAGTTCCCAAGCTTTGTCATAGTATGAATGGTCTTTAAGAACATCTCCAAGCAGGCAGTATAATCCCACTGTCTCTTTCTTCTCTAGCTCCTGTCTTAAAATTTCTTCTGCCTATGGAGAAAAACAAAAGAAAACAGAGAATGGAAGAAGAAATGGAAGGAGGAACCTAGAATTCAGGCACTGCTAGCATTCTACTGTTAGCCACAAATGTAATTTATTTCAATTTTCTACAAGATCTTAGACTGGAAAGCCCAGAAATTGTTGCAGAAGACAGTGCTTATCTTACCCCCTTCCTAGCACCCATTTAAAGTTGCTGATGCTGGTTAGTAATCGTTCCACTTTCAAGTCACTATTGAAAACTAACCACTGAAATGAAGTTACAAATAAAATGACTTACAAGAGTCTTACTAGGAGGAATTGGAGTAGCACCTTCAGTTACATGACTTACTCTCCTTTTGCAGGTATCAACAGAACTTCCTATTAGCTTTGAATCCATTATATCGTTATGGTATTATAGGTCTTATTTTCTTTTGACCCCTGAAATAAAGGCTTGTCCTTATTTTGGGGGAGGTCTTATTATTTTTGCGGTGCAGGAAGCGAGTGTAGTCAACACATGCTGCTGCTGTATTGAACGTCGCTGGGCCTGTCCCTCTTTTTGCAGTGGCTGTTAGCATGACAGAAGGGGCGCGATGGCTAGGGTTGCAAGAGCTGCCATTAGGTAATGGTGTGTGGGGTTCATGGGGCATGTTTCCCCCTCCCTTTCCTCCCCCCATGTTGTCTCCTCACCTCATGTTGTTTGTGCGGCAAGCAACTAGAGGAAATGGTGGGGACCAGCTGTGCATGCATTTAAATATTTTCGGGGAGAGCTTATTATCCAGGGAGGTCTTATTTTCAGGGAAACAGGGTGGTATCTGTAACTGTTAGACTCTATCTTAGTTATATTGCCCCTTAATAAGATGGGTTTCAGAAATGTGCTGGCCCTAAAATACATTTTGCAACTACACTATATTGCCAAAAGTATTTGCTCACCCATCCACATAATCAGACTCAGTTGTGAGCGAATACTTTTGGCAATATAGTGTACGACAACTAGGGAAGAAAAACAAGCAGAGAATGCGATGCAAACCTGCAAAATAAACAGAAGTATTATTAAAGATGAAAACTGCACCATCTGCACCAGACTTACTTGTCAGGAAGAATTATTAAAGTTTGCAAAGAAAGAAACAAACAAACCCCAGCATGCTAGTCCTGTGAAGAATTTAAAAATCTACAGATACTCTTTTGTTTTTCTTGTTTTCTCTTCTGCTTCAGAGCCACAGTCTGCACTGTAAATAAACATTTCATAGGTAAAAAAAAGTGCACTGGGAGCTGCTTCTTTATCCCATCTTTGCAAAATGCTTTCAAATTTATGTCAGTGTATTTTAGAAGAGCCGGCCAGCATAGTAATAATGTTTTATGTTCAGATTCACAAAACTACATTTTCTAAGTTGACCCGGAACGAAAGCTGCAGTGAATTCATTACCAATTCCAAAGGGAAAAATAGGACCTAGCTCGGTGGTACAGCTAACAGGGATTGAGAAAATGTCATCCTCTGTCTTGGCATCGCCAAGCCGAAAATGATGAAAGCCAGAGTGAGCCCAACCAGAAAGATGAGGAAATTTACAAGATTATTTAGCAAGAGAAATAATCATTCTTTGGTAATATATTTGTTCAATACAACACAGGAACACATTTTCAAGTGGCTCAAAACCTTGCTAAGCTTGACTTGTTGAGTGATATAAAAGAAGGTAACGAAGCACTTGGGAAAATACAATTCTTCCTATATACATTTAAATTTGGATGGCACTAATTCAGCAGTTTCTCACTCATCTCCCTCAGTTTGCCACCCTCTTCTCTTCCCTGATGGACAGGTCAACGCTGCTTGTAATATACGATCAAGAAGGCTACCTTTAAAGCCCCACATAGCTTGGCACTAGAATACTTGCTGGAACAACTTCTCCCCCATGTTCTGATTGTCCAGCTTAGACATACTTTGGGAACCTATTTATGATACCCCACTCTCCCCAAGGTGGCGCAGTGGTTAAATGCAGCACTGCAGGCTACTTCAGCTGACTGCAGATCAGCAGGTCAGCGGTTCAAATCTCACCGGCTCAGGGTTGACTCAGCCTTCCATCCTTCCGAGGTGGGTAAAATGAGGACCCAGATTGTTGGGGGCAATATGCTGACTCTCTGTAAACCGCTTAGAGAGGCCTGAAAGGCCTATGAAGCGGTATATAAGTCTACTGCTATTGCTATTGCTATAGTCTACTTCTGCAGGGTAAAGGAGCTTATAGGCACATATGGATGCACCTATGTTTTGGAACAGCCTCCCTAGAAATTCAGTTTGCCTCCAATGTTTTGGATTTGTAAACCTATTAAAAACAGAATTGCTTCAGTGCCCTTGGGGGAAGGGATTGACATCATTAGATTGACTGATTATTGTGTTGCTTTTGACTACTTTGTGCATTCTTTTACCATGAATGATTTACTCTATTCTTATTGATATATGTCAACTGCTGTGTGTCTTTTTGACTGTGACAGAATATAAATTAAGCCAATCAGTTAAATAACTGTTGTGAGAATACTTAAATGAATTTAACAACTGCTTAACAGTTTGCCATTATTATTTTATATTAGTTTTAAGATAGCTGAAGAAGCTTCTTGAATGAGAAGCGAAATGTTTTCGAAGAAAAAACAGGAAGTCTGGTTGCCTCTTGAAAAAGGGACAAGCATGACCTGGATGACTGAGAATCTCCATAGACATTATGAATGTAAGACTCTGCAACAGCTTCCACATACTTATCTCACCTTACCTACGTCTTTTGGATACCCTGCATAGCAGCTCTTGTCCTGGCAGTGCCAGGGCTGAGATGTAGTGGATGTCACAGAAGCTGGCTCGGACAAGGAGGAACTTTGGACTTGGCTTGAGACTCTGAACCTGGTGGGTGACTTTAAGGATTTGCTCTGCTTCCAGGCCTCTATTTCAGCCATTTCTATTTCTAAGCAGTGCATACTGAATTTATCCAAATAAAAAGAATTCCTAACAAATAGGAAATGCATAAGCTTCACATTGACAGGATTTTCATGTTGGCATTTTAATCCTTTCACAAACTTTTTGATGAAAGAACACCATCATTTTGCATTGACATGGCTTCTTTGGTTTGTAATTACCATACCATTGCAAATAATGGCTACAGTATGTTAGGCAGACTTATATGGCTGTCCATAAGTGTGTCCTTAAAACCAACAAGAATCACCCGATGTCTGAAGTATGGAAATGTACACTTTGTTGTACCACATACCTAGTTGTTTGGAAAGAAAATTGGGTGGATGTAGATGACATTGGATGGGTGCCTATGACTTCCTGTCTGGTTTCCAAACAGTCTGAAGTTCCTGCATTTGGGGATTATTGGGATGGTATGGGGTGTATTTTTATGTAATGTTTTAAAGATCACAGAATTTGGGTGTCTTCTTTTGGTGGTCTGCAACAGTCAGGATGTTACATCCTAAATATTTGTTAATTTCTCATCCAGCACAGTCTAGAAGGTTGGTAAAAGATGCTGGAGGAAGTGCTGTGTCTGGCAGCCCACACTAAACATTTGAAAGTGGTTTTTAGATTACTGTGGCACCACAGCACGGTCTAACTCTGACCAAATACCAGGGATAACATAGAGCCCTTATGGTTCTATGGTACACATTCCAACTATAGCACTGTTTAGAAATGGAATTTGAATCAGCAGTCCATTGGGAGCAATTGGGCAGGAGCATTTTTCATATTCAGACTGCCTTTTTCATTTCACTGTTCCTTTCTATAGGAAACTTGGAAATACTGCAAATATATATCTTGAGCTTCTAATTCTTGCAGTGATATTGTTAAAAAAACCTATGAGGTTTAGAGCTGTGCAATAAAAACACTGTTTAAAATATTAACTCTCTAAGCACTTTAAAAAATGTAGCATAGCTGAGGTTACTATGGATTAATATCAGTGCCAGGCTCTTTCACATATCTTGACAATGGCAGTAATACAATTCAATGTTGGTGAGAAACTGAAATTATCATGAGCCAAGAATTATGATGCATTTAATAGCAATAGCACTTAGACTTATACACCGCTTCACAGTGTTTTCTAGCCTCTCTAAGCTGTTTAGAGAGTCAGCATATGGCCTGCAACAACAATCTGGCTCATTTTACCAACCTTGGAAAGGTGGAAGGCTGAGTCACCCTTGAGCTGGTGAGAAGCGAACTGCCAAACTGCTGGCAGCAGTCAGTCAGCAGAAGTAAACTGCAGTACTGCATTCTAACCACTGCGCCACCACAGGTCATTAACCATCTAATTCTGAATAAAGGTCTAACTCTAACACATGATATCCTATCAAAATATACAGATTGCTAAAGGAACAATGATTACCAAAGAAAACTAGGATAAAAGTACAGAATTAAGTGAAAAACAAGGGATAATATCAGAGAAAAATAGCAAGATGACACCTGCAAACCAATCTGGAAATGATTTATACACACACGCAGCCCAAATCCATCAAATTACTTTGAGGAATCATATCAGAATATTCATGTAGCTCTCTCTTCTCCCTTATTTCTCCATTCCTTTGCCTTGACCCAGAGAATCACAGAACAGGATGGGGCCAATTAAATGACCCGTCCCTTGTTCAGTGCTACATTTTGATTTAAAGCAACCCTGAGAGACAGCTCTCTACTTCTGAACAAAGAAGAATCTGTTACCTCCCTTGAACTGAATCTGCATTAGGAAGCTACACCTGCCACTCACCCAAAACCCATTTCCCATGACCTATTATGTGTTCTGGAACAACAGTGGGCAGGCCTTGTCTTTATTCTGTGGGACTCCTTGCCCTGCCCCAAAATTTGAAATGGGCTATAATATTGTTCCCTCCAGTGTCTTTTCTGAATTTTTCCAAATTGTCTTTTAAAACTTAGTTTCCTATGACCTGATTCTCTTTGTTGTCTTTTTAAAATATCCATCTGATTTTTTTCCCCTAAAGAATGGTGTTCAGAATTAGACACAGTATTTTAATATGGAAGCTGATCAATGCAGAGAAGTATATTTCATGGGGGCCCATGAGAGAAATGAAGCGCATGCACATGCACACAGCCTTCAAAGGCACCGTGTTGGTCTTCAAACAACATAGTGCCTTTAATGTTCTGTGAAGGAGCGCTTTGCTCATCCTGGAGTTAATTGTGGAGTTCCCCTTTTAAGTACTTTGTTCAGCCTGGACTGAAGCTTCTCATATCCTCCTTTTTTCTCTCCCATAAAGGAGGAAAACATCATACCTCTCTAGCCATCTGGTATCTCGTTATCTAGGATATTTCAAAGTAAGTAGAAGGTTGGTGAAATCATTAGTAAGCTTCTTCAATAAGCTAGGAGGCAAACCTCCTTTTCCTGGAGATACGAATCCTGACTGTTTCTATCAAACTGACATTAGGCTCCTGCTTCTCCAACCTGCTCTTAAATTTGTTTGATGGTATTCCCTTCAGAGACTGAGCAAAAATAGGATTTAACTGCTCTTTTAATCTGGAATTTATTGCCATTTTCAAATGTTCACTGAGCAGATGTTATTTCCTTTGCTTCTTTTTCTTATATTTAAATATATTTGAAGAAAGCAGTTTTGTTCTTATCATTCCAGAGCAAATTTCTAATACTCCACAAATCTAGCCCTTTCACAATTTTCTTTGAAAAGCCCCTTTTTCATCGCCTATATACATCCTTTCTGATCTTCAAGCCTCCACTGTGTTTTTTATGAAGCCTCATTAGCTTCATTAGCCCTTCTTTGCTTTAGTGTCTCCTTTTTTAAGGAACTCCCACCCAATTTCTGCTCATCTTTTCAAGAACGTCTCATACCGTGGAATCCTACTTATCACCAAGTTAATTGTATTTTTTTTCTTGAAGAATAATGTAAACATGTAACTACATTCAGTTTTGGTTCCCTCAAAATCAAGAGATGCAATTTAAAAATACCTCTCCTTGTTTCTGTCTCTTTCTCCCCTTCATTTTCTTTGATCATCTTTTTTGTCTTAAATGCTACTGCATTATTTTTAGTGCAAGTAATATATGCACCTTTAGATAGTTTTGATGTGGTAGATGTTAATGGGAAGAAAACCATATATGTACAAAAGATACAGCATGTTAAAAACATAAAAACAGTAATCAGAATGGAAGTACTCTACCTTCCCATGCTGGCCTGCTCTTTCATAACAGATAACAGCATCTTCCCACATTTCAAGCTTTTTGAAGAGCTGCAGAGCTGAAGTGGTACATCCAAGGTCAAAGAGTAAGCTTGCAAGTTGACGCTTCAAAGTAGAATATTGAAAAATTCAGTTACACATTTTTTCTTTAGAACAACATGTAGCAGGTCTTACATGATTTTAGATATAAAATAATTCGAAATGCTCAAGACGTTACTCAAAGGTATGAAAATTTCTTTTTCTTTCTTTCGTTCTTTCTTTCTTTGAAATCTAGAAAAGTCTATTAATTTTGCACTTGTAAATTTCTCAAAATTAAAATTAGTAAAGATTGGCTGTGGATTTTAAAAACTTAATTCACTCAAAATTACCCTAAACATGGGAGTAATGGCTCTTTTTCCATTTCCAGATACTAGAAGAAACCAGAATATGCACACAAATAACCAACAATAAGGCCTATTGATGCTGGCCAATACTGACTTTATGTATTTGAAGTCTGGGTCACACTGACATTCTGTGATACAATCCAGAGACAATTAACAAGGCTAACTGGGGACAGAGGGAAGAAAGTCTGGCCAGTTCATGTACATAAACCAGCTATCAGTTAATGAAACAATTGAAACGAAATCCTGGACAACACATTAGAAGGGATTAATTCCAAGCTTACGTAGTAGTTACTCCACTTCAATATCCTGCTTTATTCCTTTGCTATAAAAAGCAAATGAAATCCAACTAAGAGACAGGGAAATTAAAGCAAAAGAGCAGATAGGACATAGGCTCATGGTGCATTTTGTTTTAACAATGACAAAATATGCTCTTAAAGAAACGTAATAACCAGTAAAGATTTACATCTGTCTTCCCCTAACAGATATGCTTCAGATGTACTGAGTTGACAGATCCAATATATTTAGAGTAGACTACTTTATTCAATTGCTGATTGCTGGAAAGCAAGACACCACTGAAGCATGATGAGAATGAAAAATATTTACAATTTGATCTGTCCTGATAAGCCCACACCTCAGCAATGTCACTCAAATGGGAACCCAATGGAGGAATTCCATGCAGAAGGAGGCTGCTGGATTGATGGCAGACTCTCCTGCCTTCCTTGCTCTCTGCTCTCCACCCTTCCATCTTTTTCTTATTCTATTGCTGTTTCCTTCTTGTTTTCTTTTTCATAGTTTATTCTATTGTTCTGTTATTTTACTTTTGTTTTGTTTACGCTCTTTTCATGTCTTCCTTTCCACTGCTGTAAACCAGCTAGAGTAGCTCCATGGTGAGATACACAATGGATAAATTTAACAAATAAACAAACAAAACAAAATGACCTCAGCTTCCTATAGTCACTCAGCCATTCCAGGCAAAATGCTGCAAGAGACAAATTTCACCAGTTATGATTATGAGCATGCTAGCTTCAGTGCTACTTCGGAGCTTGACAGACTGGGACACCTCAATCCACAACCTAATATAGCTGAAATTGATCTAGCTGCTTGAGTTCATCTCTGTGGGAAAACTGTTGCCAAGTTTTCCCACAGCAACCTCTAGTTATTTGAAACAGATTAGTACTGAAGCATCTTAAGAATCTCCCTAGAGTCTTAAATGCTTTTTAAATGCCAAATCTTTCCATTCCAACTTAATCAACTTTCATCTTTTACCATAATCTCATTACATTACTGGTTCAGTGGCCATGAGAAACCTAAAATTTCAAGGCCTATCTCTCCAAAGTATTTGACATTACCTGTCTTTTGTTGAACTATGGGTTATTCAGGACCCATAGGACTGAGAACTGTCCTCCATTGACCAGTAGGAAACAAAAAAGTGCACACTCACATTGGCCTTATAGGTCCCTTTATCTCAGAATCCTTATATGTTTCTTTTCCCTCTTACAACTCTCTCTATGGGGCTTTGATCCCACTTCCTGAGCCTGCCCTTGCACCTCTAAGTTTTATTCATTCTTAAGATTTTTTTCTCTCTCCAAAGAACCAGACAGAACAAAAAAACAAATTTGGAATCTTTCCAGAAATCTGGAAATTTCTGAATTAGAGAAATGCAAATTAAAGTAAAGGTAAAGGTTCCCCCATACATGTGTGCTAGTCATTTCCAATTTTAGGAGTGGTATTCATCTCCGTTTCTAAGCCAAAGAGCCAGCACTGTCTGAAGACTTCCCCGTGTCAGGCCTGCAGTCATGTTCCTTTTGGATCTTTGGCCTGCCACACTTCTATGCTACTATGCTGTTTCTATAGTGGGGAAATGGGAGGGGGGATAGTATGGAGTAGAATGCTATGAAGCCACAATAAAATTCCTTTCTAGATTGCCAAGGTCATACTTTGTCCTGGTACCTCTGCACCTGACCGGAACTGGATGGGTGGAACTGCCATCATGGCAGTGGAAGATTGGACCATGTGATGGACTTGTGGGTGTGGGGGCAAGATCATGAACTTTAACTTGAGGGGGGGGGAAATGGAAGAAGCTTCAGATTCGGGTTTTTCCACAGATGTGCTAGCATGGCTCTCTTAATAAATTGGAACTTTTGAGCAGCACATTGCCTTGGAGTCTAATTTAATTTTGGATGCTATCTGGAATGCTGACACCTGTAGTCATGTGGCAGGCATGACTAAAGTGTTGTTACCCTCTCACCAAGGTGAAGGGCATTCACAATTTCTGGAGGCAAGCTGTTCCACTGATTAATTGTTCTAAATCTCAGGAAATTTCTCCTCAGTTCTAAGTTGCTTCTCTCCTTGATAATTTCCACACATTGCTTCTTGCCTCAGGTGCCTTGGAGAATAGTTGGACTCTTCTTTGTGGCACCCCCTGAGATATTGGAACACTGCTATCATGTCTCCCCTAGTCCTTCTTTTCATTAAACTAGCCATACCAAGTTCCTGCAACCGTTCTTCATATGTTTTAGTCTCCAGTCCCCTAATCATCTTTGTTGCTCTTCTCTGCACTCTTTCTAGAGTCTCCACATCTTTTCTACATTGTGGCAACAAAAACTGAATGCAGTATTCCAAGTGTGGACTTACCAAGACATTATAAAGTGGTATTAACACTTCGCGTGATCTTGATTCTATCCCTCTGTTTATGCAGCCTTGAACTGTGCTGGTTTTGTTGGCAGCTGCTGCACACTGCTGGCTCATATTTAAATGGTTGTCCACTAGGACTCCAAGATCCCTCTCTCAGTTACTACTATTGAGTAAAGTACCACCTATACTGTGCATTTCGTTTTTCTTGCCTAAATGTAGAACCTTACTCTTTTCACCATTGAATTTCATTTTATTAGAAAGTGCCCAATGTTCAAGTTTGTCAAGATCCTTTTGTATCTTAAGCCTATCTTCTGGAATGTTGGCTATTCCTGCCAGCTTAGTGTCATCTGCAAATTTGACAAGTTCCCCATTTATTCCCTCATCCAAATCATTGATGAAGATGTTGAAGAGTACTGGGTGTAAAACAGAGCCTTGGGGTATTCCACTGCATACGTCCCTCCATTGATGACTGCATCTACATGGAGGGGCAATTCTGATCGACAAGCTCAATGTCTTAGCCACTGAACCACCGCACCCCTTAGAAAAATGCAAATTAGTAGGATTCAAATTAGTATATTTGCCTCCTATTAATAGTCCGTGCAACTATGCTATATGATTTACTGTGAAAAAATTAGATCTAACTTTTTTATGACATCTGCATACTTAAAGAAACTACAAATTCTGATGTGTAGTGAAACATTGTTTGAAACAATGTTGAGCAATAGGTAATAAAATAATAAAGAATGATTTTTTTCAATGTCTTCAATGAACGTTTAGCTTCTTGGTTTTGTAGAATAAACAACTTTGAAACTGCCAGGCCAGCTGGAATTCAGATTTTTCAACAAAAATGTTGAGCCCATAAAATTGGGCTCTCGTGGCATGGCTCACTTCTGTCTTTTTCTATATTATCCTGCAATGTCTTCTTCCCTTTCTCTCACTCTCAAAGCTCAGATTATCTTGAAGAATTACACGCCCACACAAGCACACCCACACACCAAGCCTTTAATCTTTCTCCTTCTCACTTTTTCTCCTGGGAGATGACTGCATAAAATGAAATTAAACTGTTTAATTTTACTTGCTTGATAAATACTTCAGTTTTAAGATGAACATTTCTTCTTTTTCGTGACCTTTTGGGGACTTACAGTGCAGGGTATACAACTTAGTCTGACTTGCCCCGGCTTTGCTACCCTTTTCCTCAATTGGTGACTAAATGGACACTGTTTGGAAATGGTGCAGCAGTGACTGGACACTGTCTTCTTGTGGGATGTTTTTTCAACTTCCCATCCTAGCTTCAAGCTTGGAGGCTTCATCTCAGTCTCTCATGACATATTACCCAGATTCAAGTGTGATTAGTTTTTTTGAAATCAGCCAAATTTGATTAGGAGCTGCCATCTGCTATGACTTCATTGCAACCTTTACCCCTTCCCCAACATACACTGTGTGTGCGCGCAAGCAGACACACAGACACAAAATCTGTTCTGGAAACAGTGGAGAAAAAAAAATCTATAGCAAAAATAGATAGCTCAACTGGACATAGCTCAGAGATTTTAAGATGTATTAAATGTTTGAGGAGAAATTAACATTTCATCCAGGCCATAGAACAACAACAACAAATGCATTGTCTTCCAAATAGAAAGGGGCCACATTTCAAGGTAAATGCCACAAAAAATCACTGACAACTTTAATTGTAGTTTATTTATAGCAACAATATATTCTAGCTCTGTTGCCAGAGTGCAAATCTCCTTCTGTTTGAGGACCATGCTAGCTCTGAGCCACCCATCCAGGACTAAATTCTAAAACAGGATAGACCAAGAACAATTTTGTGCATTTTTGAAGGTGGGGTGGGGTTTTAGAAAACTAAAGTGAATTGTGAGAATACTACTCTAAACAGTTTCAAAAGCTTTTAGCTTCACCCATCTAGGTAAAGACTATTTTTACTTTAACTATTTTCAGCTGCTCTCTTTTAGTACATGAATGACATCTAGAAACAATGTAGTTGATCCAGGATTTACCCAAGATCAAGGAAAAACTATGGGCTGACAAGTAGGAAACAAGCAGACTGACAAGACAGGATTTCTGGAGACAAAAGAAACACCAAGATGAGTAAGATAATTGGATCACAGCGAAAAGTCCTAATGGATGCTGCTGACAAGATTTTGCTAGTCCTTTCCTGGGGTGGAGAGTGGGAGGGTTGGTTTGGTTTTTTTTTCACTTTGGGCTTCTGGGAGGCAACACAAAGGGAAAGAGAAGAGTCTGCTTTCCAAGGTCAGCAAGAAAAGACATGGTCCTTCACAGCAGCAATTCATATCCATGATTTATATGTGACAGCTTTGAGGGTAAGTATAAGAGAAATATATGCAGGGACTGTGCCACTCAAGACAGCACTTCAACCATTGTCAATAACAGATCACCAACAGAGCTCAAAAATCGGTTTGGCTTGGAGGAAAAAAGTCAAAGTGAAAACCACACTGGGTTTTGTGAACTGGAAAGATTTCTGAAGGATTTTAAAACAGAAAGAATGCAAAAATGGTTTCTCCTGCGTCAAAGACAGACAAATGTGTTGGAAAAATAAAGGTCAAATTTCAAGGAATTCTTTTGGCCAATCTCTTGACAACTGACCAAGATTTTGACCAATTACAATTATAATTGGTGTGGTGACATTTGGTAATGTTGTTAATGCACAGTTTAAAAACACTGCCAGCTGGAATGCACTGTATTAATACAGAAGCCTACTATTTTTTATATAATAAGCCAGGTAAATAGATTTGCTATAGTACTTCATATAAAAATACAACAGGAGAAATTTTCCCTTGCAGCATCTCAAGTTTCATGCTTCATAAAAATGACATCTACAAATCAGTTATTTTATACCTGAATGGCCCAGTGTGGAGGAACCTGGCAACTGTAAAATATCTTCATACGTTCACAAACGGATGTTGTCTTCTCTTCAAATTGGTCTGCAAGTGCCTGAAAATCCAAAACATTTAAATATATAATGCAATATAAGTCTTCAATAGGTTCTGGCTAACACAGCAACTGAACAAAACAGCACTATCTGCTTAAAGTTACTAACGTAGAAAGCCTAAACACATCAAACAGTGTTTCCAAACCAGTATAATAGCAATAGACTAAACAAACTGAAGGGCTGGTTTGGTGTAGTGTTAAGGTGCTAATCTAGAAACCAGGAGATTGTGAGTTAGCAATAGCAATAGCAGTAGACTTATATACCGCTTCATAGGGCTTTCAGGCCTCTCTAAGCGGTTTACAGAGAGTCAGCATATTGCCCCCAACAATCTGGGTCCTCATTTTACCCACCTCGGAAGGATGGAATGCTGAGTCAACCCTGAGCCGGTGAGATTTGAACCGCTGACCTGCTGATCTAGCAGGACTGCATTTAACCACTGCGCCTCCTTGGCTCTTAGATCTTGGTTCTAGATCTACCTTAGGAATGAAAGCCAGCTGGATGATTCTAGGCCAGGCACTGTCTCTTTCAGTCCAACGCATCTCATAGAATTGTTGTGGGGAAATTAGGAGGAGGAAGGAGTTTTATACATGTTTGCTACCTTGAGTTATTTACAAATAATAAAGATGTAATAAAAATCTAATAAATTAAACAAACAAACAAATAATTAAGATATATAAGATGTCACTGCAAGTGTCAAAATCTCAAAAGACCTATGAAATTACAGACCATTAGACCACTAGTCCTTGACTTGTAACAGTTCATATAGTGACTATTCAAAGTTACAATGGCACTGGAAAAAAGTGACTTATGACTGTTTTTAACACTTATGACCATTTCAGCACCCCCACAGTCACATAATTGTTGCTGAGTCCCAGGATCATGTGATCACCTTTTGCAACCTTCTGATAAGCAAAGTCAATGGGGAAGCCAGATTCTCTTAACAACTGTGTTACTAACTTAACAACTATGGTAAGAAAGGTTGTAAAATGGATCAATACTCATTTAATAACTGTGCGGCCTATGTGGCACATCCAGGGTGCCTCCCCCACCCCTCTGCCTGCTGCTTGGGACACGTAATCAACTCACCTGCACTGCATGGGCTGTGGCTGGACAGTCAACCTCCACATCTTCACTGCCTTTAAGGCTAGCCCCGCTCACCCCCTGGCTGATGTTGATGTTAACTGGAGTTTATTTTGGGGGTAGGGTCTTATTTTCGGGAAAACATGGTATGTTTAATTTTAATTTAATTCATAGTGGCAGGCTCCTTGTATCCCTCAGATTTTTGGATTTCAATGTCAACTCAATGTAGACAGCATGGAAAACACCAAGTAGCTATGGAGCCATGATAAAAAATTCTGAAAAGACATTAGCTATTGCTCTGTCTTTCTAATTTAATTTTCATATTTTACTTTATTTTTAAGCCAATGCTACTCATCTCCAAATCCTTTCTTGATATATTCAACTGTAATTCCTAATGCCCCATTTTAGGATGATGGAAACTGTAACTCAATATTTATTGAAGGCATCTTCAAGGTGATGGAAATCTTGTCTAGAAAGTGTAGATCAAGGATAATTTCTACTTGTTAATGTATATAAATCAATCAAGTAATAAATAATAATGATGCATATTAACATGCTGTCTTTATCCTAAGGATATTAGTATTTATTCCTGCTGAAGAACAGTACTGCGAGACCATCTGACAAAATTGTTTTAATGAAAGCATTTCTCATCTTAAGTTTATTATCTGAAAATAATTCTTTTATGTTTCTTTTAGTGTGTAATACAACAACTATTACAGTCATTCCTAACCTGACACTACCAGATGCATTTGCTAAAAGTTATGGGAACTGTAGTCCAATAAATCTAGTGGACATTAAGTAGAAAACTGGATTAATAAACATAGCATCAGAGGAAAATAAATCTAAGTCCTTTAGAATTCCACATGGATAAGACAAATTAATGCACCTTATGCAGACATTTTGGATTGCATACAAAGTTTTATCAAATGAAGACTCTATCAGTTCCTTTTCTTATTTGCAAACCCTCTTAAAGATTTTCCTTTGGATCCCAGAGAGATCCTTATTGGCAGAGTCTGTCTGTCTGTCTGTCTGTCAGAGTCTCTCTCTCTCTCTCTCTCTCTCTCTCACACACACACACACACACACACGCCTTAAAAAGATTTTTCAGTCAATCTTCTATGCCTGTTTGAGGGAAAAGTAGAGAAAAACAAGCAGAAACAATTTGAGATGTTTGATCTCTAATAAAATTGGTTGGAGAACATTGTTGAAAATTAGTTAGCAAGAGGAATTTAAATGTATCTTTTAGTAAGTTTAATTGTTAAATCTCAAGGAAACCTGATTATCAATTTAAATTTAAATGATCCCGCTGCCTGATAGAATGCAGTATTTGAGAAATAACAAACCTAATGTTCTCTTAAGTTCCCTGAACTAATTTTTAACAATGTTCCCCAAACCTGGATATTAAAACAGATGAAACTTTGCTCAACTAAATGCTGGACGTTTTTGTGCAACTATGGGTAAAACTAAAAGATAAAGAAGGCAAAGATTAATTGGAGAAAGATATAAAGAAGGGATGATGCAAGTATATGCAAGAACTGCAGAAAAATGATTCCCAAATTGATGATACTGTACTTATAAAGGTTTTGATTAATGGCCACATATTTTGGAAATAAAGCTAACTCGCCCCTAGAAAATATTGCTAAAAACAAAGCAACAGGAATTTATGAATTGCTAACAGGACTTTTTAACACTTACTAAATGATTCAATTAAAATAATACATGCAACATGTAAGCAGCTGTAAAAACAGAGAAATAGTCAAAGAACTGGAAAAAATCAATTACTACTCCAATACCAAAAATGAGCAGTACAAAAGAATGCTCAAAATGTCAAATAGTTGCACTTATCTCTTATACTAATAAGATAATGCTCTCCAATGTGTACTTCAGATTTCAATAAAAAGAACTGCCATACAAAGAAGATGGATTTAGAAGAGGCAAGCACACCCAAGATAACGGAGCTAACATTCAGTGCATGATGGAAAATGCAAAAGAATTCAAAAGAAACGTCTACTTTCGCTCTATTGGTTATGCTAGAGCTTCTGATTGTTGAGATCTGGTGCCCAACACCAGGGGTGGGTGACTACCAGTACTGGAAATTGGGACTAGGTTGCCGAACCGGTAGGGACAACAGGCTGGCCACACCCCTGAACTGGTTTCCCAGTCGCACATGCCGTTTTCGGCATGTTTTTTTACTTATTATATAGTGTTCTGAGCATGCGCAGAACAATATACAGCCAACTGCGCATGGGCAAGCAATGTGTGGCAGGCCTAATGCTGGCAGCAACCCACCCCTGCCAAACACATAGCACTTAAACTATAGCAGTTCAATTCATCTGCCTATTGAAGAATATGCCTGATGACCAGGAAGCAGTAGAGAACAGAAGATGTAGCAACTAAACTGCTTAACAACTAGAAAAGAAGTCCACCAAATCCTCAAGATTGTATAATGTCACTTATTTAAGTTACATACTGAATACATCATGAGCAATTCTGAACTAGAAAAAGAAATAGGAAATAAAATTGCTGCAAGGATCATCAACAACTTCAGATATGTTGATAATACCATTCTCCTGGTGGGAAGTGAGGACTCTCTTGCTGAAGGTGAAAGAAGGGAATGTAAAAACCAATGTGCTACTCAGTCCTAAAAACATCCAAAGATTATGTCAATAGATAATTTCCATCCAATAAAAATAAGGAGGAGGAGAAGCTAAAAGCAGAGTTTATCTCTCTGGGTTCACTAATTCACAGGGATGGTGACTACATCTCTATTTGGGAAGAACAACTGTGACAGAACAGCCAGACAGTTTGCTTTGTAGCAACCTGGATTAGAAATGGCTAGTCCCAAAGGACAAATTTCTTAGAGCGCTAATTATTAACATGCATTAAGAAGATATTTTAGGTAACAATAGAAAAATTCCATCAAGTACTGTATTTTCCAATTAGAAAACTGTATATAGGCATATTAAGACAGGAAGTTTCTGGTTTTTCTCAAGCTCTTTTACAATAAAGTGGGGAAGACATTCTTTTTATGAAGATGGGGAAGTCTACACCTATTAATTTAGAAAAGTCTATTAGACTTCTCGTGAGAACCATCTCTCACCGTTATTCACTTACAACGTTCTGGTCCTGCTTTTGAAGCATTCTTCCGTGTGTGTGTGTGTGTGTGTGTGTGTATGTATGTGTGCGTATGTATGTGTGTATGTTTTGCTCCAGCTTGATGACTGCTCACTCCCCAAGTTCCCCTTCAGGTGCAACTATTATGCAAAGACACATATCAAGTAAAGGAGACAATTCTGCTTTTAGGTTGTAAAGCAAGAAACTGTCATTAAAATGGTATATCCAATTACCAGCTCTCTAACAGTTTTACTTGGCATCCAGTTTGAATATTGCCCCGCAATTTAAGCACTCAATAAATCTCCTTGGATTCAGACAGCTTAATTATCCAGCTCCTTGTATAAAAGTTTGCTCCTGATAACTATAAACAGCTTTCTGAAACTCTGTAGCAGAAGATGAGCTATTATAAAACAAAACAAAACAAAACAAAACCCTTGTTTTTTAGGGTTTGGCAACAATATTCTGCTTTACCCCAAAATAATAAATTACAATACATGTAAGCAAGAAGAGATTAAAAGCCAGTCTGATATAAGTATGTAATTGTAATGGATCAGACTGGCTTCTGCAAATATAGATGAAATTCTTCCAAGGGTATCTGGGAACAACAACCTTAGCATAAATATTAGCAATCTGAGAATAACGCTACCTGGCTAGACTGCAAGTTCCTAACAAATCACAATGAATTCCAAGTATGGCTGAATGTGTGCCTGGAAAATGGAGCTTCATATCCCATACTGTGTAAAGTTCCCTAATTTGAATGCAATGCAGATAACTACCTAGTGTACAGATTAGCAATATAGAATATTAAATAATGAAGTTGCAATGACAAAAAAAAAGTGCTGGAACGACTGGCTGAGACTGAAGTCCTTCAATTATAGTATGCTTAAAGGACATGGAAGAAGATACACAATTTTTCTTATGCCTATCAATACAATAAATCAATTATATTCTGAATAAAATTACAATAAATTTAACCTCTGATCACTAAACATCTGTACTGCATGGAGAAGCTTCAAAAATTCAGAATATTGTAGGGCTTAAGGGAATATTGCCTGCCTATTCCAAACTCTAGCTGTTGTTTTGAAAACTTTACTAGACTTTTTATCGAAAATCATATTCAGAATTTATCTTTCATTTGTATTTCTTCAACTGAGTTTTCCTAGTAAAAGCTACATAAGAACTGCAATCAGCTTTAGCTTCTTCCTTCCATGTTGGTCTTAACATGGCCTAGGACATATTGAAAGATCAGGCACAGGAGGATCTTAAGTCAACATTGTGATTAAGAAGCATGCCTTGTTTAGAAATACTATAGTGGTGGAATTTAAAAGTACACTGGAATCCTCTGCCATGTACACATGATGAAGAAGCACTGCCTAAGGCATATGAATTGAATCAAACTATGTACAAATGAATAGCCACAGTCACATTAGTCATGGCTAGAAAGTTATCAAGACTTTTATGGACAATCTTGAAGGAGCAAAGAGAACGTTGATTAACTTTCCAGTTCAAGAAACCCTACGTTCCTCAGTATTAATCACAGAATAAGCTGCATATGATACTTTATTTGGTATCATGTCTGCTGATGTCAACCCTGTTCACATTTTAAAAGCAACAGATTCCTGATGTCTGAAGGAATCATTTAGCCTAAGTTCTTAACCCCAGAGGTCTTCTAATCAAGGCTGTCAAGAAAAAGACAAAATCAAGCTTTCAAAAATTTCCTGGAGACCAAAATAATGGCATTATCTGCCTCTCCTCCACTAAAAAGAACAAGAATATGATAATAAAGAGAATGCAAGAACTATTTTTTAAAGGATATGATTTAATTATGGGCTAACAATATGTGGATAAAATGGAAAATATAAGCATTAAAGTACAAGTATAAGTATAATCTTTATTGTCATTGTACTTAAATAAACAAAATTTGTTTTAACCTCACTGGTGCAAAATTATAACAGAAACGAAAAAAGAAAAAGAAAAAAAACTAGCATGTGCATGGAGTGATTGTGGTTATATTTAAAAGTCTCACAGCCCAAGGATAGAAACTATCTTTAAACCTGTTTGTTTGGCTGGCTATACTTTGATAAGGAACACTACTTAAAATAAAGTACATATTCAAATTAGGAAGAGTAATATTTCATGACAAAATTCTCTAGTAAAAACAGCATGCAAGTTTATTACATAAAAAACAGCTCTCTTCCTGATTCCTATTGTTCCATGCACTACATACTAAATTTTTACACCTTTAGGAAAGCTACCTTATAAAGCACAAATGCTAATTAAGATATGTATCCATATTAAAGAGTAAGGGATAAGCTAGTATGTTGATAACATATGACAATTATGACATAGTCTTATGAACAATCATGTTAGTGGGTGAATTAATTCAAAGTATAAGATGGCCAAAACAAGGCAGGGAAGAATGACTGGCAGTTCACAAAAACAGAAGAACTAAAAGAGGCAAACAAAATCCATGGTCAAAAACCAGCTAGAGCTGGGAAGAAGATGAAATAGAATAGAATAGAGTAGCATTCTTTATTGGCCAAGTGTGATTGGACACACAATGAATTTGCCTTTGGTGCATAGGCTCTCAGTGTACATAAAAGAGGAAAAAAGGAAAAAGAAAAAAATATATTCATCAAGAATCATAAGATACAACACTTAAGTGATAATCTTATGTTACTAATAAGCAATCAAATCATACTAGGAAACAAATAAAATAATATAAATTGTAAAAATACAAGCAACATGGTTATAGTCATAAGTGGGAAGAGAGAGGTACTAGGAAGGATGAGAAGAATCATAGTAATACAGTTTTAGTAAATAATTTGACAGTGTTATGGGAATTAGTTGTTTAGCAGAGTGATGGCATTCGGAGAAAAACTGTCCCTGTGTCAACTTCTTCTGGTGTGCAGTGACCTATAGCATCATTTTGAGGGTAGAAGTTGAAACAATTTATGTCCAGGATGTGAGGGGTCTGCAGATATTTCCTCAGCCCTCTTTTTGACCCGTGCAGTATACAGGTCCTCAATGGAAGGCAGATTGGTAGCAATTGTTTTTTCTGCAGTTCTAATTATCCGTTGAAGTCTGTGTCTGTCTTGTTTGGTTGCAAAATGTGAAGATTAAACTGATTATGAAGCCCTGGATCAGTTCTGACAAGCAAAAGAGCCAATTTTAAACAAAAAGGCCCACACAGGCTGAATACGAGACCATAGAATAAAGGAGATAGTCAGTTTCAGATTGTTGTAGGAAAATACGACACTAAAACTTTACTCAACTAGGGTAAAAATAGGAGGTGGTGGTAAAAGTCCAAAATGAGTAGCACCAAATACTGAAACTGAAAGTACAGAAGACAAACAGAGAATCAAGAGAGTGGAGAGATTTAAAGAATTAGGAGTTTGGTGGGATGGGGATTGCATTTATATATGTGAAGAGGATTTGAGATTTTGAGTATAGTGTTTCTCACCCTTGACAGCTTAGGATTCTTGGAGTTGATGTCCACACATCCTAAAGTGTCAATGTGAGAAATATTGTTCCAGGACATCACTAAGTGAACATGAGATAATCTTGTGATGCAGCTACTAAAAGGCTATTTTGGGATGTATGAACAAAAGCTGAGCATTCACAGGGAATAATTATCTCATACTCTCTGCCTTAGTTAGGCCCCACTTGGAATGCTGTGTCCAGTTCTGAACCCACAGTCTGGAGTAACTGGAACGAGGAAGCTACTAAGATGATGAGAGGTCTAAAATCCAAGTCCTATGGAGAACAGTTAAAGAAACTGAGTATGTTTAGCTAGGATTTTTTTATTCCAGTCTAAATACAAATATTATCTTCAGTCAAATACACATTTCAAATGACTCATTTCAACGATACATTGAAGATAATTTATGACATAAGTCAGCTTAACCACAACATCACTTCTCCTTTGAAGAAGCCACAAGAAAGAGCCAGCTGCGACTGATTCAAAAGAAAAATTGGCTAGTATAGGTTGCAAATGTTAAGCTACTGGCACCCTCTCAAAATTACCCATTAAGAGTTTTTCCTTCAGCAACAGGAATCAGATGGTGGCTCAGGTGTTTGTCAATGAAGGGTTTCTTCATTTTACTTCATTGAAGCACTGGAAACACATCAGTGGGGATCTAAACCTAGCACATTTCTTCTCTTTTACTTTGCAATATTCACTATGATTTTTTTGGTCCTATTTCCTCTGCAGATCAGGCCCTCTGCAGCTTCAGAAGAGGGAGTATTTCTGAAGTGGATTCATGAAAAAAATAAGCTGTTTTGTTCAGAAGATAAGGATCTATTAAAACATCTTAGCAATTGTCCCTACTCCAAAGTATAACCACAAAGAGAATCAACAAAACTATGCCCATCAATTCAATGTTATATAACTATAAAGGTAAAGATTCCCCTTGCATATACTTTATGTGCTAGTCATTCCCGATTCTAGGGGGCGATGCTCATCTCCATTTCAAAGCCGAAGAGCGAGCACCGGCAGAAGCTGGTGCAAGTAATGGGAGCTCACTCCATTACACGGAAGTAGGGATTCGAACTGCTGACTTTCTGATCGACAACCTCAGCATCTTAGCCACTGAGCCACCACATCCCTTACCTCTACAACTATATTGAATTGAAACTTCCATTACTGCTAATTGGCAAAGTTGGTGACGAATCTAAATAAATTAGATACTATGATTAACAGTGTGGAGAAGAAGAGAAACCAAGAAGAATGTTACCTGGGTCTGCTTCATTGCCCTTTCCATTCGACGAATACTTCCCTTCTCAAGTTTTGTTCGCAGAAGAAGAGCAGAGGTTTGGATTGCCCAGAACTTTGGTTGTGAGAGCAGATACTGAGAAAAAGGAAAGAAAAAAGTATTCATTTATTCATATTTTTAAAAAAAGAAAATATTTTTCAGTATAGTGCTACAGTTCTATTGTAACCTATTATTATTTTTGATAACTGGTTAAAGAATTGAAAGACCTATATCAATGTTATCAATTCAATTTACAGCAACATTACAATCATCAATTTGTATGAGGATGAGGAGGATGAACTGCCTACTATGCTAAAAATGTCATCAGTTTTTACACAAGGTTCCCTTATATAAATTACTAATAGAAAATTAGAACATTGGATTCCATGTATTTTTGACAAAAAAAAGCAGCAAACCAAATGTTCAAATAAATGTTTCAGAATTACACTGGTTTGGACCCAGCAGGATTCTATAGAAATGGAAAGGTTCCATACTCTCAACCTCAAGATTTTTGGTGAACTTCTTTTTACATGGCATCAAAGTCTTGATATAAAAGATCCAAACAGGAAAGGCAAGAAAAGCCACAATGCATAAGAGGCATTTGGTTCATACTTTTTGACATTCTAGCGATTTTCTCAAAAGCATTTTTAATTCTCCCATGAAATATGACTTTAAAATCTGACCGAGGAGAGATGGCTTGGTGTTTTTATTGACCGAGAACTATGATAGCTGCTGTATCATACAGAGATAAAAAACATTCAAATAAAACTCTATCCAATATTTATTGCATTCACTGAATTATAATATTATATCCTTCATCTAATATTTAAAACATTATAGCAATCAACAGTAGCCACAGACTGCATCCTTTCACATATCCTTTGCTAGTCTTATTCTGCTATATGCTTTATGATCAGAGTAAGTCTGGAGATGTGCACTATAATGTGCACTATATCTGATTGCCATGCCTAGGATACTGATGGATGGAACAGAAAAGTCTTAAAACATTATTTCAAACTTTTCAGCTTTTTAAAAAGGGAAAATATATGATCATGTATCTAGACTGGTTAGGCCTTCTAATAGACTTTGTAAGAGGAAAAGTAGTATTAATCTAGACAGCAGGATGGCAGCCAAGTTAACATATCAAGTAGAGGCAGAGGCATCTATTAAGGAATAAGAGAAGATTATTATGAATTATTTCATTTGGGAAACAAATTCTATTAATCTTAACATGCATCTGTACTGGAGAAGAATTTACTAGCCAAAACCATCAATCACAAAGAAGCTAATCCTACAAGCTCCAGTTTGCCTTGTTTCTCAAACAATTTATTAATACTAGGAAAGATATTCTGTATCTTAAACTTTGTAGAATCCCAGCAGGCATTCTGGGATGTCCAAGTTCTCTACCACTTCCAGATTCAAAGTAGATCAAGACTTCCCAGCTTTTATCAAAACAATGGTGATCTGGAATTGAGGAAATAGGTATCGATTCTGTGATGCAACTAGCGGATTTTGGAATCTAAACTCAATGGATGTATCTTCAGTCCAACTTTAATAACTTTATACTGTATTTGGAATTAAGCACTTTTTAAAAAGAAAAATAAGAGTTTTTAAAATAGACCAACTTTTATACGTCATAAATGTTCTGCTTCTTTATCTCTTTCTCTCTGTAAACAGAAAGGATTGTGCGCTGGACCATAGAGTGCTCTCAACAATCCATGTATCAATGGCTTGTTTGTTGCTGCCTGCTGCTCTCTGGTGGTCAAGATGAATCCAGGGATTTAACTGAAGTTGCACCATTGCATCATCCTATCATGGCTGTATGACTTTCTACCAACTTTTAAGACTTCCAGCAGTGCTTATCTTCTTCAGCTAAATATTTAAATGCTTTGCAGACTAAACCAGAAAACATAACTGGAATTCTGAGAGCAGGCTTTGGCTTCATTCACAAAATGGTAGCCATAGTTGCTATGAGCAGTCACTAAACACTTGATCAAAAGACAAACAAATAGGAGAGCTCTCCATATCCCAGGATATTTCCTACTTCCCTAGTCCTTTTATTTGGCCCTGAGCGAGTTGTCGTTCTTCTAAATTATCTAAGGAACATTTATAATTGGATAGTATATATAATACTGAAAAACATACACACACTTCTACTTTATCTATCGTTAGGTTAGAGTAAACTATTTTTTTAAATTTAATTTACATCATTGAACAAGTCACATGTAAGAGCTTTGGAAATAAACATTAAGAAAGATATGGCAATTTGGTATTTCCACTAACTATACAGATTTTATATATTCCACAAAAATGAGTGCAGTAATTGCCGTTGGTCAAACGTATATGTCTTCTGAGCTATTTTATGAGTACATAGCAATATACTATTTCATAAGATACATTTGGAAATAAAGTAGAAGGGAATGAATATTAAATACTGTAATTTTGGCTTTTGTATTATTAACATAATCTAAGCTCCATTCAGCACTGATGATGTTGTCTAGTTTAGGTAATGAAGCATCTGCAATAAAATAACCAACCTCAGAGAGCACCCAGGACCCTCATATCAATCGATTTTCCTTTATTGGTTCCATTTAGATAGTTAACGGAAATATGATAGTACCATGGAGAAAAAATATAATTAGCCATAGTTCTGACTTCTTCAAGATTGAGACAATTTAACTAAATTAAGTCACCTAAGGTCCATGTTTTTAGGGACGAAATGACTCAGTGGCTAAGACACTGAGCTTGTCAATCAGAAAGGTCGGCAGTTTGGTGGTTCGAATCCCTAGCACTGCGTAATGGAATGACCTCCTGTTACTTGTCCCAGCTTCTGCCAACCTAGCAGTTCTAAAGGATGTAAAAATGCAAGTAGAAAAATAGGAACCATCTTTGGTGGGAAGGTAACAGTATTCCGTGTGCCTTCAGCATTTAGTCATGCCGGCCACATGAACATGGAGACATCTTCGGACAGCGCTGGCTCTTCGGCTTTGAAACAGAGATGAGCACTGCCTCCTAGAGTCGGGAACGACTAGCATGTATGTGCGAGGAGAACCTTTGCCTTTAAGGTCCATGTTTATTAGAAAATATTACAGATGCAATGTTATCATTTTTCGAACAATGGATTATAAATTAGAGCAGTGAGTTCTCCTAGAATGCAAGATTTTTGTAGTGTAGCAGGGCAAGCCTTAATGATATCAGTGCTGGAAGAAAAAAGGCATTTTTCAATCTTATTTCCCCACCCCCACCCCCCGGGACAAAATGCTACTAACATCCAATCTGACTATGCTACTATTTCTACCTCTGAAGCCATGCTCCTGCACTATTGAAACAGCTTTTTTATACAGCAGGAGCAGTGTGCAATTTGCTACAACTAGCCTGTTCGATGCTAAAAAGCAAACTCAAGCTAAGTCTCCAGACTAATCTGCACAAAGGGACAGTTTAATTAGAAACAGTGCTTTCCCAGATTTTGCTTTATCTAATCTTATAGCCACTGTGCCAGACTTCTAACATTACATCATTAAAAATAAATCATAAGAATTGCCTCACTGGATTAGACTTGAGTCTTGCTATTCCAGGACTACAAAAAAAATGTTCAAGAACTTTTTAAAAAATATCTGCATCTATATAGATAGAAAATACATTTTCTAATATTTTCAGATTAGCAACTTTTTTTTAAGCATTTTTTTTCAGCAAACGGTTCCATTTGTAAATTTATCCAAATGAAAATGATCTGTACATAAAGGTTTCCTGAATGTATGGCTGATAAACATAGACTTGAACTCATTTATTCACTACATTCAATTCCATGTATCTGTGGGTTTTGACCAGATGTTTTTAGCACATTTTGCCACATTTCACAAATATACAGATCTGATACTGATCCCACTCAATTTCCCAGTGACCTGCCACTTTCTTACCCTATATGGTCATCCTCTCCCTGTCTGTTACTCCCTCCAGTGTGAAGATGAGAAAGCACATACTCTAGGGCTCAGTATATCCAATCAATCTCTGAGCATTCTGCAACTGTCTTAAGAAATAATGATCAAGCTGAGGATATGTTCTCAGGGAGGGCTCTGCTAAGTAAAATGGCACATTTGTGAAAACTATTATCCCTGTGTGAGACATATTGCCTTGTGGTGACGGTCCAGTTATCCACTGCATGATATTACAGAATTAAGAAATCTGCTCTCCAGTCTGTACAGAAACAAAACCCAATCTCTCTGCAAGTGTGAGAATCTCAAGATAATTTTCCATCCATGCAACCAAAGGTGGTATTCTACCGGTTCGGACCAAATCGCCCAAACTGGTAGTGGAAATTGTGGGTGACTCCGCCCACCCCGCCCAGTTCTATGGCATGCCATTTAGGCCATTTGTTTTGCCAAAAATGCATGCCCGGAAGCTTCTGCACATGCGTGGAGGTGTCAAAATGTGGCAAGCACGCTCACATTTGCGAACCGGTAGGGAAGGTAAGTGTGTACCACCCCACACCACCCCCACCTGAATTGGGTGGAAAAGACTCAAACTCCAAGGAATGTACCATTGAGTAGAACCATAATTTGTAAGAAAGGGCCATGGCTTGATGGAGTGACAGAAGGAGCTGAGTGTACTTGCAAATTCTGATTTCACAGACTCAAGAACTGAGATAGCCTATTAGAAGGCAAAAACATATTTCACTGTTTCCATATTCTTTTATTTTGAGCCACTATTTTTGGATCTCCAGATATTCCAGTTGTATAGGATGTACTAGAAGTGCTTCGACCACAGTTCTGTATTTTCATTTGTTTCTTTCATGCGTGCAACATATAGCCAATAGGTTCTGAAAAGTATACACAGTGCCATTGTATAAAAACAGAAGATTCCTATAAAGTGGTATGTGGTAAAATGGTAAATTACAGCCTATTTTCAAAATTAGCAGCCAAAAATCTATAAGATATACCCAAAAGGGTTCAGGAAGCAAAATTGTTGTTTCCATATGCGTAGTTGAATAATTAATTGACTATACTTGTGTATAGATTTTCAAAAATGTGGATCCTTGGGAAAAAAAACTTCCTAATTGAACCTATACAGAAGAATGACAAATGATTAGAACTAAACAA